CAAGAAGTGGGTGGGGGTGGGGCCCAGTAGGGTACCTTCCCCAGGCCTTAAGGTCAGGACAGGTGAGGTGGACTCTGCTGACTGTGGACAAACCGCAGGACCTGACAGTACCATAGCATTGTGCTAAGGAAACTCTGTCACCCCAGCATGAGCTTGATCTAGAGTACAGGAAGGCATGGAGTCCAGGGGTAGCTGCTAGGCCCAAGTGAGAGGGACGGTTAGCTGCCAATATTATGGGGTGGAGGGGCATGCTGCCAGTGCAGGCTTTGGGGGGAAGGGGGCCGGGTAGCCAGGTCTTACAGCTGGCTCTGCCCCGGGGAGGCCAGTCCTCTGATGGGACCCTGCCCAGCTGGCCCAGAGCAAAGCAGCTTCCAAAGTACTGAGGAAACACACTATTAAGACAAAAAAAAGAAGGAAAAGAAAAAATAAGAGAAAGGAAGGAAGATAATAATAATAAGATAGCTTACCTTGGCTATTTTCACAAAATGGCTCAGGATTTCGGCCCTTATTTTTAAAGTCTGTGCTGTTAGAATTTCTCGTACAACCCAAAAACTGACCTGCAGAGTCAAATACACACACGTACACACCAGAAAAGTCAGTAAATGCTGCACTTCCCATGTCGCCCTTGCCCACCACTGTTAAGGGATTTCCAAAGGTCAGAAGCCAGGAGAGCACATGAGGTCAAGAGCCCCTTCATGGTACCCAACCCCACACACGGGTCCCACGTCCTCAGCATTCCCCCCCCTCCCCAGGAGACAGCGACTTCCATGACACACAAGTGTCTCTGAAGATGCTGCGGGGAATGTTGATGTCAACCAGGCTGGGTCCTACTCAGAAGGATCCCAGCTGTGGGGAGACCAGAGATGATGAGGAGTTGGGTGGACAGATGCACAAACGGCCTAGCAAATACTGGCAGTACCACCCGTGAGCTCCACACCTGCAGCTGAGACAAGGAGGGTACTCCGGTGCTGGCACAACTGCAACTCTCATATTTAACTTCCCCAAAGAGGCCCATCCGGTCACTTACATGCTATAAAAGCATCTCTCGGCATTTCATAAAACAGTACAGGTCAGGGGCATGTTTTTCTGGAGAGAGCCTGTGCCCAAGGGTACGCTGGCAGCTCTGGTTCAGAGGCTCCATCATGCCTGGCCTCTCACTGCGACTGCCCCAAACCCCCGAGGCCGCTGGCGGGAACAAGAAAGTCATCTACCCGTGCGGAGTTGACTCATGGCACCTCAGAGAAACTAGCGGGGTTCATGCCAAGGACGGCTGGGAAGCGGCTAGCTTCTCCTGTTTATGTCTCGCTACGATGACGACAGTTCTAAGTGGCACACAGATGCCCAAGAGTGCGATGACAAAACTGCACAGAAAGGGCTGGGCAAAGTAAAGTACGGGGGTGGGTGGGTGCAGAACTAAAAGGAAGGTCAGGGATCTAACAGCACCAAATTTTACCGGGATAAAAACAATGAAGGATATTCTGAACTTTACAAAGCAAGCTTACTGCGGCAGTGAAACATATTTGCGTTACTGAAATGCTGTCACCTTTCAGAGAAAGCAAAAGGGAAACCGAGGATCAACAATTTGCTCTTTATATTAAGCCAGAATATTATAGAAAAGTTTTCTCAGTGTTCATTGGGGGCCTCCAGGTCACACCTAGGTTTCCATAGAACCAGTTTTTCCAAGGAATTGCCTAAAATTAAGTTCAGATTCGAATGTCTACTAGCCAGTTAACAGAAGAAAGTTTTCCTGGACATCAAGTGGTATACCCATAAAACTTGTACTTTAATACTTGCATATTTTTATGCCACACAATCCCAAGTGTGACCATTTCCATGTATAATTTAACACATTCCTACATACCAAAAAACAATCACACGTCACAACAAAGGAATAAGGCAGGGCTGCACACGGCGTGGAGGGGTGCACAATCCCACTCAGCAGAGTTCCACGGAGCCCTACTGTGTGCAGGCTCCAGGCACTCGGAGCCCAGCATCGCCTGATATGGAGGGGACCAAAGGAGGGGGCAGACTCCTCCTCCCAAAATCACTACACGCCAAGGCAGCTGGTGATCATGGCCACAGAAGTTCAAACCAAGTGAGATGGGGTCTCGGAGAGGTGGCGATAGAGGAAGGTTTCCTGCAGAAGGGAGGCCTTGAAAGATGGGTGAAACTTTAAACAGGAAAGGCAGGACTGAGGTGTGGCGATCAGCACCATGACAGAGATAGGTGGGTGGCTGCCAGAATGGCATGGCAGGGGCTCTGTGGGGTCGGGGCAGTGAGAGAGGATGACAGTAGAGAGGCAGGGGAGACTAGACTTGGGGGCTCTGGAGCAATAAGATGCAAAGGAGCTAAGACACTTTCTACATAGGGAATCCCAGAGGCTTCTGAGCAGAGCAGTGAGACCCTTCCATAGGGCAGGGACACCCAGTAGAACGCTGGTGCAAGGGTCTGAGTGAGAGGTGTGGAGGTCTGAGCAAGGGCCATGTTGAGAGAGCTGAAGAGAAGGGGCAGGAGAGAAAGGCAAAGGTAGAGCCTATAGTTTTAAATATTTTAATTATTTTTCTTTTTTTAAAATAATTATTTATTTCATTGTATTTCTTATCATCATTTTTCACATTTTAAATAAGGCACGTGCACTCACCAGAGAGAGACAGAGAGAGAGGGAAAGTAAGATAGCAAGCCAGTAAGTTCAGGACTCGAACTGCAGTTGACCATGTGGGAGTACAGTGCCTCAACTACCATACCACCGGCTGGGCCCTCTAACTCTTTTCTAAATACACTTTTTTTTTTTTTTTTTTAAGTTTTTTGCCATAGGACACATGTGTTTGCTGGAGAAACAATAAGACAGTGAGAGGGAAAGTGAGAAATCACCCTCCAAGGGAGATGCCGTAATCCCTTCTCTTCCATTCTCCTCCTGGGATTGTGGGCATGCACACACATATGCCCAGTATGAGTTTCAAGTCACCAGGTCCAGGACTCAAACCATGGTTAGTCATGTGGGAGTCCAATGCCTCAACCACCATGCCACCTGCTGGCCCACTATAACTACAAAATTTAACAGAGATAAGCACAAGAGATAAAAACCTCTCACTCTCACATGCTGACCCCAGGAAACATGGTGGTGTGCGTCTTTCTAGTCTCTTGTTCCATACTTAGAACATACTTTTGTCTATTTCAATTAAATTGGTAGATATTAATCATATTTTACAAGAATAAGAATTTTTTAAGTGAATGAATATTCTTCTACAATACAAATTTTAGCAGCTTCCAAGCATTTCGTAAGGATATATCATTAATTTAAATATCCCCCAATTATTGGTTAATTATAATTATTTTGTGGTAATAAACAATGTGAAATGAATACATTTATACATATAGTTCCGTATACTTTTTATTAAGTTCCTAGGTTAAATTCTTGTAAGATTAAATGAATAAAAATGTGTCTTTTTTTTTTTTTCAAAAGTAGATATAAAAATCTTGACCTCCAAAAGGTCTATTAATTTAACCAGCAACTCATTTAAGCAAATCTGTGTTTCTACACACAGGCCAAATACCAGTTACTAATTTTTTTTTTTTTAATTTACTATCCCAATGGTCAAAGTGGTATCACACTGTTTCTATTTGGCATTTTTTCAGGACTATTCTGTTAATATTTTTTGTAGGTTTTTTCACTTAACATCTTTTGTTCCAAATATTTATGGGCCATTTATACTTATATGCCTGTAAACTATCTGCTCGAGTCCCTCACCCACCTCTCCATTGGGACATCTGTCCTAATAAGTGATTAATAAAAACTCTTTGTATACTAAAGAAGTTACAATTTGTGAGCCATATATTGTACCAAGAGCGTGGAGAAATTGGTTTCTTATACACTGGCTGTGGTAATGGAAACTAATGGGAACACAGGCCAGCCGGTGGCGTGGATGGGGTGGCTGGATGCCACGTGGCCGACTGTGCAGCTCAAGGCCCAGACCTGATGGCTTGGAAAACACTCTGGACATGTGTGCGTGTGTGCCCAGAATCCCAAAAGGAGGGAGAAAAAGAGGAGAAGAAATTGTGGCATGACCATCTCCGATGGGGGCACTTTCTCTCTCTCTCTCTCTCTCTCTCTCATGAAAACATACACCCTCTGGCAAACTCAAAAGCAAGGAAATCAATGGGAACACTTTGAAGAGCACCTTGAATACCTCTTTCAAAATGTTTAAGATATAAGCTCCCTAGAATATTTATCTTATAAAAATATGGAAATATAGAAACACATACATGCAGGGATTCTGAACAACTATTTATAAAAGTATGGGGGCAGGCGGCATGCCCATCAATAAGAAGGTGGTTACATAGATTGTAGTACCCCTTCAGACTTTGGGGTAAGATCACTGTGCTCAGCCCTTATTCAATGAGTAGGGAGCTATTCTCCACTTTCTTGAGAGCAAAGCATCTGCACAAATAGTTCGGAATTCTTCTGCACAGGAGATTTGTCTATCCCCCCTTTAGTTATTCAATCATTTATTCATGAATATTTATTTTATGCTTTGGGTTATAATGCAATACTGAGATTTTTTGTGTTCTGTTTGGTTTTGCTCAGTTGTTCCAACTTTGGTCATCGGAGCTCTCTCAGCAGCCCTGCATCCCTTTGCTGTGCCCAACACTGCTGCCCTATTGGTTTAAACACACTCACTTCCGGGCACTAAATATGCTCTAGGCTCATCTTGTGTATTTCCTGCCCCCCGTCCTAAAGTTAGTCACTTCTTAAGGAACTTTGGTTTTTCTTTTTTTCTATTAGATAATGGTACTAGAAACTAAGATTAGCACTAAACGGTGTTGGGTGTGCTTGGTGCTCCTGGGGTGTCATTGTGTCTGGGCCTCTCAGCTGGCAGAGCAAGGAAATACACGTGTGCATGTAAACTAACACATGTACATTCCTTTATCTATAAATATGCGGTAACCGCTTGTATCTATGCGAAGCTAACCCATGTCTCCCACTCTAACCTGTAACCACAGGGATCATGCTAGCCTTCCCGATTGTCTGTGATTCCCAATCTAACGGGAGAAAACTGGCCCCCATCATCTGCTGTCCACTTTCGGCACTGTTCAACTCTGGTACAAACATACAGTAGTTCCGGAAGACTTACCCGTCTCCCTGGGGAAACAAGTTTAGCGAGCAGAGCACAGAGTTATGTACGGCTTCTCTTGTCTTTAGTCTTGGAGTCTGTACTCTATTCCTAAGTTACTTAGGTCAGCAATTCCTCCCTTACCATCCTCGGTGAGGTTGTATCTGTCATCCACTTATAATATAGCCAGATTTCTTTATTACATTCTACATTCCACTCTAGAATCTCTTGATGTTCAGGTTGAATTTTTAAATTAGCATACAATAAGGTTCCCACTTGGTGATATAAAGTTCTATGGGTTTTCATAAATACATTTTGTCATGAATCCATCTTAGAGTGTGTGCACAGAATAGTGCACCACCTCAAAAAACCTCCCATGCTTCATCTGCTCGACCTTCCTCCTTCCCAAACCCCCACGACCACTGTTTATCATCTCTGTATTTCGC